TCTCAGTTTACCCCCCAAGCCGACCCGCACCTACCGTATCTCGGCTCCCTGTTTATCTACAGGTGTGTAAAGTATACCAAAATACTCGCCAGAGCAAGACGAACATCTTGGTATACTTTGCACGCCAGTAGATGAACAGGGAGCCGAGATACATAAGTTGGGTGCCGGCTGGCGCAGTAAACTGAACTCTTACCGGAATTTTGCATAGCATGTTCTTTTACCAACATCGCCGGAGGGCCGCCTCAGCGTCCTACTCAGACGTGAAATGATGGTATCTTCTGAATTTTCGAAATTTGAATGCAATTTCTGATTGCCTCGATGGAAATCGCGAAATCGCTAATGTAATTTTTGCTCATTTCCATTTGCTTTTTCTTACTGTGTAATTTCTTATCTTTTTTCCATTAGTTTTCTTTGCATTTTACTCACATCTTTACCACTGATTTTGATCATTTTGGGCTCGGTGTGGTCGCTTTATCCAGAAACCTTGAAACACCTAAGCTCTAGCTCCTTTCTGGCTCAGCTGCCAACCATAATATGTCGAAGTAAGGAAAAGAAGGAAGCCACCATTTATTGTCTCCAAAATCACATTTTCAACGACATCACAGGTTAGTGCAACGAAATAAAGTATAGGTCAAGCATTTTATCAGATGTGCGCGTCGGGCATTCTTTTTATCTCCTAGGTCTTCCTGAGGCGGCGCCACACGCGACACTTCTTCTCCGGGTTCATCGGCGAGTTCAGCTGGAAGCGAATGTCCAATAGATTTTGTGTAACTCTCCGTGAGACCGCTGACCTTAACCCACCGGACATTTGAACGCCGTTGCAAACGGTTCCAAATTGTTCATATCCTCGTTGATGCGCACCGAATAGGGGGGTGGCGTCTAAGAAATGTGGCTATTTCATGGCCTTGAATCGGCTACTTTCAAGATATTTGCATACGCTGGCGTCTTCAGCTCGTCGAGTTAAAATAATATCCATCCTGGGGACCCATTTTTCTTGGGGCTCACACACACATTGAGGGCGACGACGCCGCTCACTCACACAATTAGTCAACACTTTCCCCCATCCACCTGAAAATGCATGGTTTTTTTCAGTTGGGGGTCCGGTCGCCTGATAAGCCCCGCTGCTCGGTAGCAACCCGAGGGGTGATAATTTGATGAGCTCCCCGCGACACTACCCCCCGATTTATGGCTCCCATAATTCTTTCGCCCTTCTGAAGGACAGCGGAACCTTTAAAGTTTCGGTTCGTCGGCATTATCGGGGGGTCCAAACTACGTTGTACCTGTCTCGCAATGTCTATTAATGTGATAGAAAGCGTTTATAACCATAATTAAACTAGAAAACTTCTTAAATGTTTGAAAAAGTTGAAATTTTGGTGAAAAATCGGCCACTTTTGGTCGAAAATTAATTATATTTGGTATTTTTTACGTTTATAAATAGTAAAAAACTCTTTAGAAACACTACGTCATTTATATTTCAAAAATTCGAGCTTATGAAAAAAGATCCCTCCCCCCGACAATGCGAAAGAACCTTAATTTCGTTTTCTTCATTCCTTGGCGTCCTATTGTTCTCTTTCCATCACTTCCGCTTCAACAAAGCCCATTACAGTGATGGCTCAAAGTCGCCGGAAATCCTCGCCAAATGAACTAAAAAAAAAGGAGCAGAAAAAGCAGAAGCACGAGAATCATCAGAAGCGACGACACTCAACGGCCTCTCCTAAGGAGAACCCGAAATGCGCCGAATATTACGAGTAAATCCACCCGCCGTGCTTTCAAAATGAATTTCAGGAAACAAGAAGCCTTGCTTGAGGCCTACAAACTTGATGGGGAATGCATCAGGAATGGGGGTCCCATGGAAAATAAGGAGGATGCTGTTGGCATTTTCGCTGATCGGAAAATTGAATTTTAGACAAAAGCCGATCAATGGGTCTCTACCGTCGTGCTCGGCATGAATCTAGGGCTTCTATTGGCGAAGGTAAATCTAAAAAATAAGAAATCGAGCTTAAAATTGATACCTGACAAAAATCAGCTCAGCTGATTGGTCTATTTTTTAGGCTTTCTCAACGTGGTTGACGCACGGCTCCTCGTTGTCCATCATTTCGACGCTACTCGATTCGATCGTTGACATCACCGGGTGCTTGTTTTGCCTAACGACGCGCCACCCGGTGTTCCGCTGCCGCGTTATCACTATGCAATCATGCATGCTGGTCCCCCCTAAAAATCCAGGCAACCAACCGAACAGTGGTTAGAAAAATCGGGGGGTCACGGTCTAATAGGGATATCTAAAAAAGTACAGGGTGTCCCAAAAAAATCCCCCCCCCCCTAGCCGGCCGCAGACCTATCCGATTTTTACGATTTAGGTATCTATCGAAAGCTCGCGGAAAGGCGAGTCCAGCACGTCTTGCCGATTTTCGAAATGTCGGAATTTTTTGCTCGATATTCGGCCTTTTTCAGGCAAAACGGACTCGCTTTTTTGTCCAAAACGCAGTTTAACCCGTTTAAGCGCTATCCAAGCTGTGTTTTCGCAAAGCGCTTTCAAAGAGCTGTCGTTGGGCTGCCAGGAAAGGCATACAACTTCTTAAATTGCGATTTTTGTAAAAAACGCCTTGGTCAGAAAAACATCAGAAAATCCGCGCGTTTCGCAAAAACCATTAGTAAATTATAAAAAAATTTCAAAATTTTAAGAGTCAGAAAGACGTGCTGGACTCGCCTTTCCGAGAGCTTTCGATAGATACCTAAACCGTAAAATCGAACAGGAACGGGGGATTTTTTAGGACACCCAGTAGTGTTTGTGTGTCAGTGTGGATTTGCATGCAACTTCCGTCACCGTGTCCGGAGAATAACTCTTGAAGGAAGGGTTTTCAGCTACGTAAGATACGTCATTAGCTGCGTAACGGAACCGATGGCTGCACGCATACCAGGTTTTGCAATTTATGCTATTTTCGCCGTTAAGATTAAGTTTTTTGTTCAAAAATCGGGCGAGTTCTTTGTTAGGAAATAATTACCCTACGCCGGAAGCGACGATGGCCTATTTAATGGGAGAGAGGGAGCACTTCTCAGTGTTTCACATATGAAATTCGAAGAATATTCTGGGATTTACATTTTTATTTTCATTCGAAGAATATTATGGGATTTCGACGGGTCCAGGGTTGAAAAGTCGCGAAGCGGTGTGGTTATTTTCAACCCTGGTATGGTTATAATTTGCCAAACCACTAATGAAATAATTGCTCTTATGTTACTAGGCATTTCTGGTCCCCCATGATAACAGATTACAGTGGCGTTGCCGTCTGGTACGCGACCCATTTGATCATGAACACCGACACATGGCATTATCCCCGAGGCCGAGAGAACCTGGAGAATGTGTCGCTGCTATTCTTGTCCGGGGTAATCAAACTATTCTAACAGCATTAAAAACGTTTCTAAAGGTCACAGATTCCAAGATCCTTCCTACCTTAATTTTGGTGTGTGACTGTGTGTGTGTGGATGTCAGTTTCGATCCCGATTTGAGGGCCTTCCCGTGTATAAAATGCCCTAATTCTCCGTCACCCGGGGGAATCGACCCTCCTCTTTCCGGTGGAGTTTTCAGAATTCCGATAAAATATAAGTTTACAAATTTATAGCCGGTTTTATTCATTTTTTGGGGTACCTGAGGGCTAATTTGCAGAATGTGAAAAAATACAAATTTCCTCATTCTTGCCAGGTGCACTCGCGCGTTTGGTCGGGGTGGGGGGGGGGGTCCGCAAGACCCGAGCTATCAGAAAGTCAAGCTTTTCATGCAAAGGTCGCATTTCAGCTCCCAAGGCCCGCGAAGCGGGTTTTGGGCGCTGCTCCCAAATAATTTTAGACAAAAAAACCCAAAAAACATCCCAGGTAACCTGCAGGGTGTCCCAAAAAAAAAGACCCCCCCAAAAATTTGAGCCAGAGGGCACCTACGGAGCTGAAAATTTGCACAGAGGTAGCGAAGCCAATTTCCCATGTATATGGAAAGTTTGAGCCATATCGGCCGACGGGTTTTAAAGTTATAGCGAAAATACTTTTCATTTTTAATTTAATATGGGGATTTTTGCAATTTGCATCAAAAATATGCGTTATTCTTGAATTCACGAGCCGATTTTGCATAAATTTTGCCAAAAAATGCCATTCTCTTGCTGGAGCTTTTGGGAAACGATTGCTCATGCAGCGTGAAAACGATCAGCAAGACCGCTGAGTACAAGATACATTGGTTGAAACTATCGTTCAGCGCCGGAACTTCGCTTAGACTTTGGACTGACTTAAACCCAAGCCCAAATCTAAACTTAAGCACCACGTAAAAGCTCATCGAACTCTGTTTCGGGGCTAGCGCGAAGCAGATTGCCAGAATGCACAATAAGGCGTGGTTTGGATCGATAAAATAGTTGTTTTCACGCTCTTTTACTCTTCATACGCAATCGTTCGCGCCATGCTCCAGCAAGAGAATGGCATTATTTGGCAAAATTTATGCAAAATCGGCTCGTAAATTCAAGAATAACGCATATTTTCGAAGCAAATTGCAAAAATCCCCATATTAAATTACAAATGAAAAGTATTTTCGCTATAACTTTAAAACCCGTCGGCCGATATGGCTCAAACTTTCCATATACATGGGAAATTGGCTTCGCTACCTCTGTGCAAATTTTCAGCTCCGTAGGTGCCCTCTGGCTCAAATTTTTGGGGGGGGGGTCTTTTTTTTGGGACACCCTGTATATCTTTGTAGGTGATGGGTGTCGCTAACCTTCAAATCGTCTGGGATTCTGTAAGAGCCCTAATCTTCGGGAGGGTAAGCAAAAAAGGAAGCTTACACACCGATTAGCCGCCGCCTGATATCACACCCGTCTCGCTCCTCATTCTGCTCTCAACAATTCTGATCAAAATCGTGCTCTTCATCTGGTGCAGCAAGCGGAAGTCGAAGAGTGCAGAGATTTTGGCGACCGATCAAAGGTGGGCTGGCCGGTTAAAAAACCAAAAGCTTTAGAAATGATGTCGTAACCAACAGCGTGGTTATCATTGGAGCTGCTTTGTCGGAATATGTGGCCCCGATTGCAGATCCTATTACTGCTGCGCTAGTCAGGTACAAGCATTTCCCCAAATCAAACAAAATATGTTTTTAGTGGGTACATCGCATGGATTTGGTTTGAGTTGGTGAAAGAACAATTCTACCAAATCATGGGTAATATGCCGTTTCAGCAAATTCCATAAAATCTAGGTGGCGTCTGCTCCCGCGAAGAGTTGTCGCGAATCACGAAAGTCTGCATAGAAGAACCGCACGTCAGATGTCTAGACGCGCTACTGGCGTACCATGCCGGCAATAAGGTCAGTTTGGCAAAACAACGAGAAGTACTACGTCTCAGGTTCGCGTTGAGGTCCATGTGGTCACTGATCCCAATATGACCCTGCGACAAATCCATGATGAGCTGATTGAGCCGTTGACGGTAAAGTTAGAATCGCTGGAATTTGTTGACAAGGTCGGTTAAAAAAAATCTAGCACATCCGAATTGCTCTTATAGGCTTTCGTCCATCCCGATCATTCACTAGATGGGATGGGCAAGTAAAGATACTATCGAATACTTCCTCAGCGCGATCTGCATCAGCCTTTATTGAATGGACCTTTATCAATAAACTCCATAAAAAGCGAAGCACCAAATCGACGAGGTATGGATACAGACGAACACAAAGCCAGACGCACAAAAATTTGCTGTATAGATCACGAAACATTTTGATGAATGTACTGAATCAGGTATGAAGGCCAAAAGCATCCAAAAAAGTGCAGTTATCAGTAAGGGAAGAAAGCAACGATCAGAGCTACTCCTGGAACTGGTCATCGGTGGCAGCAGTAGACACTTCTTCCTCCACCTCCGGAGCGCAAAGAGCTGATGGTAGTGTTGGGCAATTTGCCCGGTCCGGTTTTCGGGCCGCCCGAAAACCTGGCCGCCCAAATTTCGGGCCGAAGCTCGCGGCCCGAAAACCGGGTCAACCCGGTTTTACTATGCCAGATAATATATGAACATCATTTTCGAGCAGTTCGCACAACTCGGCGCCAATCCGATTGCAACTCATTTGGGGGTCGTTTCAACACAACGTTGGCATTCCTTCGAGGTTGTTGAACACGGCGGACGATTTCGAGCCGTTTGTTTCTAACCGCGCTAGCAGCGTAAGGAAGCTTGATAGAATTGCTTCAAGCCGTTGAGAAGGGAGCATTTTGAACGCTCTTTCCAACGGTATGCCTGCCGTTCTCGAACACCGTCGGGGGACAGAGAGGGGAGCGTTTTAGTGCCGAAAGATGTACCTGTCGAAGTTGTCGCCGCACTAAAACCATCATATCTCGATCCGCACTGGGACCCTTGGATCGAGAAGGGCATCAGTCGAAAGAGCGCGAAAAGTTCTATCTGCCGAACGAGTTTCAGCTCTTTAGCAGTGTCTGTGGGCAGTGTCGAATGTCGGAGAAGACGCGTGAAGCGGCTTACGGAAATAAACCACTCGCCGTCTGCTCTGGATTTCAGCTTTTTCTAAAGGGTTTTGTTAGGTGACGTGCTTTTGATTGCTAATATAAATGCACGTACCGCTCACGACATGGATTTTTATTCCCCAAAAGAGTCATGTCAAAAACATCACAAGTGAACTACGAAACAAATATATAATCGGAGCCATTGACGTCTTCATTTTACGTCATATTTTCTTGATCTTTTAGCGCTTTTTGATGTGGCGCCAAACGCGACACTTCTTCTCCGGGTTCATCGGTGAGTTCAGCTGAAAAGCCGTGTCCAACTTTTTGTGTCGCTCTCCCTTTAAAGACCTAGAAGTCAACTCACCGGACACTTGAACGCCGTCGCAAATGGCTCCAGGTTCTTCATATCCTCGTTGATGCGCACCGAGTAGGGAGGGTGGCGTCTAAGAAATGAAGCTATTCCGTTGCCTTGAAACCGCTACTTCTTGAAGATATTTGCATACGCTGGCGTCTTCAGCTCGTCGAGTTGCCCGCACCAGTTCTAAAAAATAATTCAAGGCATCGGAAAGTGTTACAAGACCTGAGCATGGGCGAGGAAGAAGAGCTGATCGTTGGTGTACTTCTGGAGACCGGGCAACTTTGGCGGATTACTGCCGAAGAGCCGATTGCGCTGCTTACGATAGGCCTTAAAAACGTGGGTAAATATTTTCATTGGTTCACCAGGGTTGAAAAACCGCTTCGCGGCTTTTCAACCCTGGACCCGTCTAGGACTTCTGAAAATTTGACTTTACATAGGGCTTGCCGAATGCCGCTCACCAAAAAATGAAAAGCGCACGCTCCCTCCATTTTTGGAGGCTACGGCCACTTCCGGTCAATGCTAATTGCCTCCTAACAAAGAGGTTTTTCGATCAACTATAATAAAAAAGTAGAGACGTCCGTGTGTGTGTGTGTGTGTGTGTGTGTGTGTGTGTTATACTTCTCCGCCCACCCTGGGTGGGCCCCCCCCTAGGGGGGACAGAGGGGGGACTGAAAGGGGGGATGGTGGGGGGCCCCCCCCCGGGGATTCTTCCCCCCTCCCCCACCCCTCCCCCCCCCCCCCCCCCCCACCCCCCCACCGAATTTTCGCTATGCCGAATTTCGCTATGCCGAATTTTCACTTTGCCTAATTTTCGCTATGCCGAATTTTCACTATGCCTAATTTTCGCTATGCCGAATTTTCCCTATGCCTAATTTTCGCTATGCCGAATTTCGCTATACCGAATTTTCACTTTACCGAATTTTCGCTATACCGAATTTCGCTATGCCGATTTTTTGCTACTCTACTACTAATATTCTCTACTAATATTAATAACTAAGATCGGCTGGGACTTTGCGGTGGAACAGAAAATCTGCTGCGCCTACGGGATCCACGATCTGCCTGCGTTTTTGGAAACTTCTAGGCTAACTCTAACTCTCTAGGCCCATCTATTTGGAAAAAAAACAGTAAAAAAATTGGGAACATACCGCTTATCAAAATTGGTATGGCGAAGATTCGGCTTGGTGAAAATTCGGTATCGTGAAAATCGGCATGGTGAAAATTCGGTATACCAAAAATTCGGCATAGCGAAATTCGGTATAGCGAAAATTCGGTATAGTGAAAATTCGGTATAGCGAATGGAACTCGTAGGTGCCATACCTTCATGCCTCAGGGGGGTAGGGGGCACGGTCATTGGGGGGTCCCCCGGGTCCCCCTGGGGGCCCCCACCATCCCCCCTTTCAGTCCCCCCTCTGTCCCCCCTAGGGGGGGGCCCACCCAGGGTGGGCGGAGAAGTATAGTGTGTGTGTGTGAAGCCGAATTCAACTCGAAGGGGAAAGGAGCAGGAGCTTAGCTCTCTTCGGATTCGGATAGAGCGTGGTCAGAAACCCCCAAACTGATAAAAAAATTATGAAAAAGTTTTAGTTTAAATTATTAAAATTAACTTTGAAAGTGGCGCCTTAATAAAACGAGTGGGGGCCCCTCTCCCGGGAGGCCACGCCCCCTTTCCTTTCGCCCTTCTTCCCCAGGCCCCTTCCCGCGCCCCAATAGCTTTTTAAGTTACTTTAATACTTTTAATACTTTTGAATTATGTTAATTTATTATCTAAATCTTTTAAAGTTGTTAGTTTTGAACGGGATTTCGGCTATGGGGGTATCTGAAGCCATCAGGAAGGTATTTAGGTAGTTTTTGAAGGGGATTTCAGCCATGGGGGGTATCTGAAGCCATCGGGAAGGGATTTAGGTAGTTTTTGAAGGGATTTCAGCCATGGGGGGTATCTGAAGCCATCAGGAAGGTATTTAGGTAGTTTTTGAAGGGGATTTCAGCCATGGGGGGTATCTGAAGCCATCGGGAAGGGATTTAGGTAGTTTTTGAAGGGGATTTCAGCCATGGGGGGTATCTGAAGCCATCAGGGAGGTAGTTAGGTAGTTTTTGAAGGGGATTTCAGCCATGGGGGGTATCTGAAGCCATCAGGAAGGTATTTAGGTAGTTTTTGAAGGGGATTTCAGCCATGGGGGGTATCTGAAGCCATCAGGAAGGTATTTAGGTAGTTTTTGAAGGGGATTTCGACTAGGGAGGTATCGAAAGCCATAAGGAAGGTACCTAAGGAGTTTTTAAGCAGGGGTTTCGGAAAGCAGAAGAGTTTTTTTGCGGGTTTTTCGGAATTTTAGCGGGACGATTGGGGGAGCCCTTTGACGCCCCTTTCCCCGCCCGGGTCCCGCCACGAATAGCCTGCCCGGTTAGGGATGACTCCAGTAATCAGTACAAGGGTGGGCCCGAATCCTCGTGCGTCGTTTTTATTTTTCTTTTTGTTCATATTGTTCTTTTGTCGTGTTCTTTGTCTTTATCTTTGCTTTGATTAATTGCGTTGCTTTTCAGGAAACACTGCTTTGCTCTGCGCACCTCCTTCCTAAAGCAGAGCAGTGCTTGGAAGGTAAGCGTACTAGAACGTCTTCGAGATTTTCGATTTTAGCTTACTGCAAGTCAGCGCCGAACAAGCACTTCAGGCCGTCAATTGATAGGTAAGCTCGAGGTTTATTCACTTTATGTCATTGTTTAGGCGCAACCATTCCTTTCGCTCGCACAGCCAGCTCGGTGTTGAAACGCGCCATCCGTGGTAGTTTTTGCGTGCGCACCTCCAGCTTACACAAACCAGAGCCCGACAGGTATCAATATTTTTCCGTGCAATGTTTTTCTTTTTAGGTGACTGCCAGTCAGAGCCGAAGCTCACGCTTACCCGAAAGACATTGTCAGGTAAACTCGGGCTTTCTAGACTTGACTTAAATGTTTAGGTGCAGCGCTGCTTTCTTCGCAGAACCTCCTCCGCCTCGAGAACGCCCTCCCAAGGCCGTGCACGTTTTGTGTCCGCGTCCCTTTGCCTGCGCAGCCTCTGCAAATATAGTGGAGTCCAAAAAGTAGACATGTTTTTGCGCATAATAATTTCGTTTTTAGGGCGGTGAAGGCCACCGCACGACCTAGGAGTAATCCGTGACATATTGCAAGGTAAATTCCATATTCCATATCTCACGTTCCATGCCTAGGCGCAAATCCATAACTACAAGCAACCTCCTACCCGGTCGAAGCGGCATGCCGCGTCCCAGGTTGACGGCGGCCGAGCGCGACGCTGCTGCGGATCGTCGACGGCAGCAACAACAGGTACGCAGGGCGGCGGAGTCGGCGCAAGCGGCGTCGGCGCGAAGGACTGCAAATGCAGCGCAAAACCAAGCGAGGCGCCGCACGCTATCGCCCGGCACCTCGGCGCAAGTCCGCCAGGCGAATGCTGCCCAAAATGATGCGAGGCGCCGCACGCTGTCGCCGGCGACCTCTGCGCAAAGCCGCCAAGCGAATGCTGCCCAAAATGCTGCCAGGCGCCGCACGCTGTCGCCCGGAACCTCTGCGCAAAGCCGCCAAGCGAATGCTGCCCAAAATGCTGCCAGGCGCCGCACGCTGTCGCCCGCGACCTCGGCGCAAATCCGCCAAGCGAATGCCGCCCAAAATGCCGCGAGGCGCCGCACGCTGTCGCCCGGAACCTCCACGTCGATTCGGCAAGCGAATGCCGCCCAAAATCGCCAACACCGGGCCCAGCTCACGCCAGTGCAGGCGACGGCGGTTTACCAGCAGCGTCAGACCCTCCGGCAACAACGAGCCGCCGCTGCCGTGCGACCAGGCCGTGATCCTGCTTCACGCCCCGCCCAACACTACCTCGGGCCGATGGCCTTGCAATGCCTCGGTTGCAATGCTCTGCATTTCCAAGCGGAAGCAGTTGGCGCGCGCCCGCAATCGTTCCAAGTATGCTGCGGTGGTGGGCAGGTCATCCATGACCGAATCAACACTACACGGACGATCAACAAATCGCAGGGGCAGAGCTTCGATCAAGTTGGACTGGCCCTCCACGAAAGGATTTTCTCCCACGGCCAGCTGTATGTGGCGCTCTCCCGATGTCGCGCGCGCGCCGGAATCCACATCGACTCTCCAGACAATAAAATGGACAATATTGTTTTTAAAGAAGTGTATGATGATTGATTTTGCATGCCGTTTTTTGGTTTGATAAATAATTGTTTAAGGATTTGCGTCGCGATTTCGGAACGTAGCCGTTTTACCGGCATTGCTATCTTTCCTATTTATGCCCGCAGACATGATGGTGCCCACGCAAAGGCCAGATGGTTAAAGCCACGAAGTGGCTTTAACCAGCTGGTATATTTACAAAAACTTAATTTTAATAGCGAAAACAGCCGATTTTCTTCAATTTTATATGTGTGCACCCATCTCGAGACCATTACGCACCTAATGACGTATCAGACGTACCTTAAAAAGCTTCCCCTGAGGCTGTAGGTGCGGTACATACTTACGGAAGTTGCATGCAAATATACACACACACACACACACACACACACACACACACACACACACACACACACACACACACACACACACACACACACACACACACACACACACACACACACACACACACACACACACACACACACACACACACACACACACACACACACACACACACACACACACACACACACACACACACACACACACACACACACACACACACACACACACACACACACACACACACACACACACACACACACACACACACACACACACACACACACACACACACACACACACACACACACACACACACACACACACACACACACACACACACACACACACACACACACACACACACCCCCCCCAACACACACACACACACACACACACACACACACACACACACACACACACACACACACACACACACACACACACACACACACACACACACACACACACACACACACACACACACACACACACACACACACACACACACACACACACACACACACACACACACACACAGACACTATTTTTTTTATATATAGTAGGATAGGATATTGGTTTCCATTTTTCTTTTTGATGTTCTGAAAGCTAGTCAATTGTCGTAACGATACCCGAAATGCCACGAGCGTTCCCTGATGATCAGCTGCAGCTTCCTCTTTCTGATTCCAGCCGTCACCCTTAAAGGAAAAGTAATCGAATAGTTTCTTTTTCGATACCGCGACGGAGATGTTGAGGTATACGTTCGAGTGGGTGACGTTCCCAAATTGGTCGACGATGCATTTCTGGCGCTCCAGAAACTCGTTGGTATCGTTGCCAACGTTGCCGGATGGGAGGTCATCTAAAATCCCGCTTCATTAACTTGTTAAAGCCAATTTTCGTACCCGTCGCGTCATAGGAGTGCGAGAATTCATGGGCAATCAACATCCCGAGGCCACCGTAGTTGAATTCGAGCGGCCAGCGCGGGTCGAATGATGGCTTGGCAAAGCCGCCGGCCGTCAGCACTAAACGTTGTAGGTGGTAGTGTCGACCCCTCTTTGACTGTTCAATTTCAAGTAATAACGCACCAATATATTTGTTGTCGACGTTTTGCCCGTTCACGTCGAACAGCGGCAACGCACCCATCGTCACCATGTCGCCGAGATCCTGAATATGCTTGAATTTTCGGAAAGAGCCGCAAAAATGGCAATTGTCTGTTTTCAAAACATAAACTTACATAATTATGTCGCACCCATTTCGCCCGAGTTTGCACCATCGCTTGTTCGATCGGCGAAAGGTCATCGGGAATGGAAATCTACAAACAAACTTTCACAATTTTTTACACAATGCTGCTGTATTCGAACTTTTGGGATTTTCTGAGGTACTTTCAGGATGTACTGAAATGCTTACGATCGGTTTTCTTTTCCAATAAAAACCGTACGGTTTTGGATTATCTTAAACCTGCGGAAGATGGTCAAGATTGCGGATAAGCGATTGCGGGGCTGTGGTATAAAAATTCTGGTATTACGAAAAACCCACAAACTCGGCCAACTCGTCGGCCACCTTCAGGTCGAGCGCATTCTTGTTGTAGCCAAGGTAGGCGGGCGTGTTTTTTATCTAAAAAACGATGAAAACAATGCTTGATATAAGGAACCTTTTCGATCAGAAATCTCTTGTTTTCCGGGGCCAGCCACTTGTTATCGGCGAGCACTTCGATGAAGGCTGCCCGGATACTTTCAGTCAGGGTCTGAAGCTTGAAAATCAGTAGCTTGAAGCTGCGCCTTACCTCCACATTGCCAAGGTCCACATCGGCATAGAGGTATTTGGCCACATAGTGCTCGGACAGTTTGTTGAACATTTCATGCCACTAGGCGTGCCTTCAAAGGGCCGAGATTCCTTAACAAACCAGCACGAGACAAAACGGCGCGCGCGTGAGCTGACGGTCGTTCATCACGTAGGCGTACCAGCTGAAGAATGCCGCGTTTTGCATTGTCGTTGTGTCGCGTAGTAGAGTGGAATACTGCAGCACTTTTCCTTGTTAATCCTCTCCGGTTTTCACTTACCTTTGCGTACATCCCCTTCTCGCCGCGCAACAATACTTTAGTCTTCATGCTTAGGCTTTTCCTTTGTTCCCCTACCGTGTAGTTGGACAGGAATTTTAGCCAGTCAATCTGAAATCAATCAGTGTTAATGACGTCACTGAATAGCTACTTCCGGAACCAATTCCTGAAGTTCACCCAGCGTGATATTCGTCTTTGTCAAATCGGTATCGTTGTGGCCGGCGTAGAACTGGAAAAACTGCACTGAGCTTTTCCAGG